TTCTAAAGAAAGTAATGTATCTCCGGCTGTTAAGCTAGCGCACGCTAAGGCATTAACGCATGGCAACATTAATCCAATCACTCAATCGCATTTTAGGAGATACAAATGGACTTGTTTCATTGTTTACTAATTGATGTCCTCTGGTAACAAGAGGTGTAGATGGCGGTCCAGTAATAAGAGGAGAAGATTCTCCAAAAGTCTCTCAATCTCGTCAATTTTTCTTTTGACCTGTTGATTTGGTACAACTGATAAAAGGTATATTCAATATAGCCAACGATTGCAGATATTCATCCCAACCTGTAGGTCTCTGGCTGTCAGACACGTTGTGAGAAGCAGTTACTCCTCTTATCAAATCATACACGAGACCCTCTGATAACATTACCATTAAACACAAACTCCCTACGTTCAGTCCATGCAGATATGTTTTTTGAGGAGGACATTTTATCCAAAACATGCTGGGCTTTATTCCTGCTGTTTTTTGGCATGTTTTTTTAAAACTTCTTCAACAATTGTGATTCTTCTGCTCTGAAGAGTGAAAATCCTCAGCGACCGGCATTGACAAAGTTAGTGTGTTCTGGTCTTTTACTCCTTGTTTTACCATGGTGAGAAATCTCTGCAATGCCATGCAATATTTTTTTTCATGAAGATCTTCAGTCTTTTGATCCAGAATGTCTTTTATAGTACGATCCAGGTCATTTTCAACAGTTTCTCGAATGGACTCGTGTGCCGGAGGTCTTCTTAAAAGATCAAGTTGTTGTTTAGGTACCAGAAACATTTTTTGTGCATACTCCATAGTCATCTAAGCTTGTCTTGAACCAATAAGACTCGTTATAAAAGGCACAGCGATACTCAGGAGGGGGAGAAGAAAACCGCCAGACTGCTTAAGCAACGTCTTCTTTTTCTTTGAGGCGCAAACCTTTTTATTGCCGAGCAGTCTAATCCCTGCCTTCTTCTTTTTAAATTTTTGATACTGTGTCTTATTTAAAGGAATTATACCTTTTAAAACATTGTAAGCTATTTTGCATAACGCTACCAAAAGGTCTGTTGATGCAGATTTAATAATATTCACTCTCTGAGATGGAGATGCTCCATGCATAGTTTGCAGTAAAGACAGGTTTCTTTTAATGCAATCAGACATGTTTATTTACTTTCTCTAAGGCACATACACAACAGGCAGGTCTGAAAGCAAGTCGGTTCTGAGTCTGAAATCATCAGGTGTCTTAGCTTTAAAATCAATCATCAAGTAACCGTAAGGAACACTCGTGGCATCCTCGAAACAATCCATAAAAAAATTACTCTTCCTAGGAAACATTTGTCTAGCCATTAGCATGACTTGGTATTTATCTCTGGGATTTTTAAACAAAACAAGATAATTGGTATTCATATTAATAGTATGGCTAACTTTGCCTTGAAAAAACAAATTCTGAACTAGGTATAAACAACTTAAATTTCTTTGATGCACATATTTTGTAAACACATTTTGGACCTCAATGTTATTGCTACAAATTGTTTTTATCTAAAGGCAACAATGTATCATCACATAAAGAAGATGGCAATCCTTCAATGAAATTCACATTTCTAATTTTCAATAACTGGTCATGCAATGGTTGCCAATACGAAAAAATATATACAACATTTTCAATCTGTTTTGAAATTAGCTTATTGGCATTTTCAATCAACATTTTCACAAAATATGTTTTACCGCTGTTTGAAGGACCTGACACAATTAGACTAAAAGGATGTTGTAGTCTAAAATCAAAACCATCAGTCTCCCTAACAGCCATGGTATGATAAACTCTGCTTATCGTGTACATGACCTGAAGTCTTGCGGCTAATGTTTTATTTTTTAGTTCGAAAGCTTTTTATTTCTCAGATACTTAAATTGTCTCCTATTGTTAGGATAGTAGATACGGTGATATCTATCTCAGCTTAAATCCCACAATGTCCGACGCTCTGTGTTGCCGTATAAAACCGGAAAATGGTATGGATGTGAAGCGCTGTTTGTCATGGAAAATAACACTATTTCAATGTTGTTTACAACAAATCACAAGCTATTTCTTTTAACTCATCGCCATCGTTGTGAGTGGACTGTTTTGCTCAACCTAAATACATACTTAAACACAGGTGGAATGCATTTGGTTTACTCTCTTTTCAGCCGGGTCATCCCGTCTTGCGTATGTTTGTCCCCATTCGGTCAGTGACGTTACTACGCAGGAGTGCGAATGATAAATAAACACTCGCGCACGCATTTGTAAACATCTTGTGAGCCATCTGTTTTGCGTTCTAACGCATGAATCCATCCCATCACTAACTATACCGTTTGCTCCTCGTAACATTTAGTCTATGTGATGCGGTGTTGTTATCAGGAACTACTGAATCCCACAATGATAAAGATAAAGCATCTACCCTCTACTTTCACAGTTTTATCCTGCAATACCTGTTTAGTCTGACATCAGGGTCTATGCAGAGTTAGACAGCGGCGAATATACAACCGCGTTCGTACGTTCATGTCAAACCGACAGCGGTCTAGCTGTGATCCCATCCTATTCTCCCACACACATCTGAATCATTTTTGTTACTTAGAGTTTAAAACAAACAAAAAATAACACTAGCCTATCGCTTCCTAATCGAGCCAAACGATGGTATGGATGTGATGCGCTGTTTGTTCTGGAAAATAACACTATTTCAATGTCCTTTACAATAAGTCACGGGATATTTCTTTTAACTCATCGCCATCGTTGTTAAGTGAGTGGATTGTTTGTGTAGGGTTACAAGGGTGCATAAGCATGGTTTTATAAGTCTGAATATTTTTTTATGGCGTAAGCCATTTTGTCTTTTGGACGTACACTTTTAGCGAGGTTTCTGGGGACGTTCCTCCAACAAGTCACAGGCTATTTCTTTTAACTCATCGCCATCGTTGTTAAGCGCATGGACTGTTTGTGTAACCTGCTGGAGCGCGCAAAGCTGGCCTTTATTTACTACTAGTGTGGATCCGGCTTTGAAATTGCATTAGGGCTGTACTGTACAGAGATAAAAATGTACAGAAAACATAACTTTATGTTTAGTTCTAGTACAGTATAAATGGTATAATGATAAATATATATATATAGATAAAAATCAGACCTCATTATGCTTGTTTTGCTACTTGTCAATTTTCAAGTTAAGTTCATCCATTGTGTGTTATATTTTAAATCACTGTCATTATTCAATGTTTTTCAAAAAAAAAGCCCAAATGGAAGAGGAGTTAAATGTTACTTTGCTAATTTCATGGCTGAGAAGAAGCATTTTAATAGAGTTACATCATCAGGAATGGATGAAGGGCCACGCAACAAGGTGGATAACAATTAACACCATACTGTACAAGTTAGCTCATCAGTACATTACCGATGTCAGAAACTACACTTACACACTGAATTAGCCTGTTACACCTGCTGTCATGAACACGGATGTTTTTCTGTTCTGCCCACACTCACGCACAGATTAAATAGCTTCCCTGGTGAACAAGCAACAGAGTGCCAACTGGGCTGAAAATACTTCACACACGAGTTTGTCTATTGAAACAGTTCAGAAGACATAAGACTCTCTTTCCTTCTCTGACCCCTCTTCCCTCTTTTGTTGTATAAATCTGTTTCAGCCCATTTCCCCATCTTTCTTCTTTACTTTAATTTTTCTTATCCCTCTATCGGCCAAAAAAGTCCCTGGAACAAGAACCTCCCACGGCCTGTAATAACATTTATTTTACAACAAGCAGAGGCGACAACAGATGGCCAACTCATCTAGTCTGAGCTGCATTCATTTAATGAGCCCACAGAACTTGTCTGTAAATCATTTAGGGTCCTGAAATTAAAACCAATAAACCATGTCCACTACAACATGATGCTTCAGATGCTGTAATGTTTCAACTTGACATGGTCTTCTGACTTAAATGTGTTCATAGAATAAAGTCTCCATACTTGCAGACGAATGCTTAGTCACCCTTATCACTTTATACCAAGGACTGCTGATAAGTTGTACCATTGGATGTCTTCTCTGCATAGCCTCACAGTATTTTTCCTTTTCTGGTCATTTTCTACCAACAATTTTGTGTGTGACGCAGACTTCTGAGGTACAATGTCAACTGTATTATCTCTTCTTGTTGGTTCACTGCGATACAACCAGCACCTGCAGATAATACGATTTTAGTATCTGCACTCACCCTGACATTCAGTGGTGCTCCCATACACTGCTAGATAAACACACTGTCCATTCCCACAAAAACATGCGCACTAACAATGTCAGTTTATGCAGTTTAAATACCCTTTAATACCCTCACACAATATCCCAGCTATGGAAAACACAGGCACTATATCTGGATAGTCGAATGTTGATACTCAACTATCAGCTGACCAGAAAGTAGCAGTAGATGTTCAACAAAGTGCCACTTGCTTACATTACATGAATTAATTGACCTTTTACTGTCGTATCTACAGTACATGTAAAATTGATTTGTCTACAGGCAAGCACGTAATTCAACTAATGTGGAGAATAAAGTTTGGTAGATAATAAATTAACTGCTTGGGGTTAAATAGCAGTTCTTCCAAGGAAATTCCTGTTTTTTACTATAATTAGTATCAAATTGCATAGTAGTTTCCAGAAACCTTTTGAAGAAATTAAGAAATGATTGACCTGAAAAGTGTTACTGTAAATTATAGTACAAATAAAGTATCAAAAGTAGATCATTTTATGGCGTCTTGGCATAGGAGAGACTTTTTTTTTTTTTTGTGTGTCAGTGATAATCAGCGCTGCATAATATGCTGCACTGCTCACGGCTTTTTTTCACTGACTGAATAATAGCTACCATCCTGATTGGGCTGTTAGCCGTTAGCACTGATAATGTAATTCACATTTCTTAGAGACAGCACACACTGCATACTCTTTTATGCGCGCACACACACACACACACACGTGCACGCTTTCCCACTGGCTCAGGTTGTAATCAGAAAGTTACACTGTGCACAAAGTAAGATTCAAAAAACACTTTATTGTGTTACAAACAGTATAATGTACAACAAAGATGAATTAGCCATAAAATAAACGACTGCAGTCTGAAGCCAACATGGAAGCCCTCGTAGCCTCTCAGTGCACGTAATCAATACATCTGAAAAAAATCATTGTTATGATTGCCTTAGTGAAAGTAAAGTAATATTAAACAAAAGATTAAGTTATTAAAACAGGCTAAATGTAACAATTTAAAAGGCTTAAAAAGCAAACACTAATAAGTGTGTAAATGAGACACAAGATGCTTTATATATATATATATATATATATATATAAAAAAGTGGAACCCTCTTTACCAGTGAAATAAAAACATAGCAAAAAAGGTTATTTCACTCACTTATCTTCAAGACTGACTTTACTTCTTTGAGGTCTTCTCCAACACCCAGTCAGTGACCTACAATAATAGAAAATATTCTTTAAAAAATGTTACTTTCAGGAGATTGCTATTTAGAAGACCTAAACCATGTGGAGAACCACTGGTGTTTGGTGGTGTTACCTGTTTGACGTTGCTGCTGGCTGCCTTCTTCATCTCGTCATGGAGACCCCGAGATGTCTTCAGATCCTGGGATCAAACAACAGAAGAGGAGGGTCAGTTACACTGACGCAGTAACCTTACTGGGCTTTACATCATAAAAATTCAACATTTTAAGTCTTAATTTTAAATTTTAATAACCCCTACAGGGGAAATTTACACCACATTTATGTGACAGTTTCTGATTTTACACACAAAAATTATGAGTTGTAATATATGTTATATGTTTAAACCCAACCCCTCCTTGTGCCTCAGCTGGAAGTAATCATGACTGTGAATTGTTTTTATCTTATTTTACCAATAAGGTGGTGTCAATCAGAGCCTCTATTACCCCCGCGGACTCTTACTCAGAGGTCCCTCACCAGCAACAAGAGAGTTTTAACCAGTTTTATCCCATCGACTTGTCTGAGCTTTTAAAAACAGTATCACAAATGAGAGTGTCCTCCAGCCCACTTGATGAAATACCTACAAAGTTTTTACAGAAAGTAATGGATTCTGTTGGGCCCCCTATCTACTGGTTGTGTCCCTGATTATATTGAAACGGCTTGCGTGAACCCACTTTTAAAGAAACCTGATTTAGATCCCTCCCTCCATCAAAATTTTAGACCAATTTCAAAACTGCCTTTTATTGCAAAGATTCTAGAAAGAATTGTGTCCAAACAGCTGCTCACTGTACTGGAAAATAACAAATTATTTGAAAAGTTTCTGTCTGGTTTTAGGAAGTACCACAGCACTGAGACTGTCCAGAACTCAGCTGCCAGGCTTTTAACCAGAACAAAGAAATATGACCACATCACCCCTATTTTAACTTCATTACACTGGCTCCCAGTATGTTTTAGAATTGACTTTAAAATTTTATTGATCACTTTTAAAGCTCTTCATGGTCTCTCACCTTGTTAGGGCCCGAGCACGAACCGTGCGAGGTCCCTATTGAAACTGAAGAGAAACTCAATTTTGGGGGCCTAAACATACTCGAAAACTCACCAAAATTTGCACACATGTCAGAAGTGGTGAAAAATTTCGTATTTTATGGATTTTGCGCATGGGCGTGGCAAAATGGCTCGCTAGCGCCCCCTACAAAATTAGAAAACATTAGCCCCTCGTCCACGTTCAAACTACATGCACGAAATTTTGTGGGGACATGTATCATATCAAGATGCACAAAAAAGCCTCAAGAACCCATACCCTAAACTCAACAGGAAGTCGGCCATTTTGAATTTTACGGCCATTTTTGGATGATTTACACACTTCGTACTTTAACGAACTCCTCCTAGGGATTTAGTCGGATCGACTTCAAATTTCTGCTGTGCCTTCTAAAGGTACTGACGATGAAAAGTTATGCTATCTGTGAGTTTTCGTTGATGGGCGTGTCCATGGCGTGCCGTCAAAGATCAACTCTTCGCCATGACACAGGAAGTTGTAACTTCAGTGTACATGCTCACATCTGAACAAAACTTTCCGTGCTTGATAACCGTCCCAACCCGAAGACATCTACACGCCAATATTAATTTATATTCATACCGCCAAGTGCTATGTAGCGCCACAAAGGGGACACAGGAAGTGACATATAACACCTTCATGCAGTGTCCGAAACACGTAGCAAATTCACAACGCTGCTTGCAGCTTTAATTATATTTCTGAACTTTTAGTCCCATATGCACCAGCACGAACATTGAGATCCACAGGCAGAGGTCTGCTGTCTGTTCCAGAGTCACGACTGAAAACTAAAGAGGACAGAGCATTTGCTGTCAGGGCCCGAGGCTCTGGAACAGCCTGCCCGAGGAAATGAAGTCGGCTGAGTCAGTGAACTCTTTTAAGTCCCTTCTTTAAACACACTTTTATAGGAGAGCCTTTCCCGATCTTATTTGACTTTATTTTATCCCTTTTATTTTATTCTATTTTACTTGTTTTATATTTATCTTAAACGTGTATTTTAGTCTTTTCAATGTTTTCTTGCTTTTATCTTATATTGTTTTTTGGGTCTTTACACTTGTTAGAGCACTTTGTAACTTGTTTTTGAAAAGTGCTCTACAAATAAAGATTATTATTATTATTATTATTATTATTATATTAAACTACCTGTAGTGGTTACTTGTGAATAATCCAAATCAAACACTTGAATTCAACAGTGTATGCTGGTCCTATATAAACCTGCGGTGCCTGCAGTGCTGCCCAAATCTTTGAAAACAAAGAATTAGCAAAAGAAAATATCCAGATTAAATTAAACACTCAAAATATATATATATAGCTCATACACTACCCAACAGTATGAAGTAGATACAATTAGCATAAAACATCAAAACACATGCTAATGCATCAGTAATAATAATCAAATTACATAATATAGACAATATAGTGTACAATAACTCTCTGAAAGGGGTCATTCTGCATAACGAGTACTTAACTTTTGATATGTTGAGTATGTTTTGTTAATAATACTTTTACTTAAGTGAAGCTTTTGACTTGTAACTAAATACTTTTACATTGTTGTACTGCTACTTTTACTTAAGTAAAGGATCCGAATGCCACCACTGCTGGCAAGTTGGGCAGTTTTGCCTTATTGTTTATATTATATCAAACAAAAACACCTGATTACAATTTACAAGGAGGCACAAATGACAGTAGATGAAAATGTGGGCATAAGCAAAAATTACGAATGTTCCTGTTCTTGTTCTAAATTTTTTCAGGGATCTATAACAAAACACAACATATGGTCAAAATTGCCATACAAGTCCTGGATGCCTGGAAACACACAAATAAAGAAACTGTCAAAGAGAGATGACAGCAGTGACTCTGTGTGTGTGTGTGTGTGTGTGTGTGTGTATATGTGTGTGTGTATGTGTGTGTGTGTGTGTGTGTCGAACCTTGAGATAAAATTTTGAGATATCAAACAGTCTCTTGCTGCAGGCTGCAAAGCACTCGTGCTCGGCAGTGATCCCGTGGTGTTTGAGGGTTTTAGCTACTACGTCAAGCAGCATCTGAGGACACGAAAGACAGAAAGACACAATTTAATAGTAGCACAATTGCGAAAACATTAAATCTAGTTTATTCCCTAAACACCTGACACTAACCATGTTCAGAGAAACTAACTTCAGCTTGGCTCCCTTTTTAAAGGAAGGGATGTCAAAATGCCTCGACTTTGGGGGACGTCCTTGCACAGTATTGCACGCCTTTACATTCACAGCATGAGCTCGCAGGGACAAACATACAAATATTCTAACCAGTTAGAGTGAACAGGGAAAACACATTCCTGAAATAAATAGATCTGCCTTTAATCTTGTCACAGCGACTGTTCTGAGGAAACACCATAAATTATTGTGAGGAATAATCGGTGCCATTCAGTCTAATGAGGACTAGAAAGGCAGCTCTTAATCTGTCCTGAATAAATTTCTGTCATTATTTCTGAATAGGGACAACAGTTCTTTCCTATACTTGGGTTTGGATGATAAGCCTGTTTGCATAGTAATCACAAATCAGAACAAGTCAAGGTCGTGGGTGCAGATTGTGAGCCGTACGTGGGACAGAGGATATGGCGCGCAGGTGTGTGTGCGTGCATTTGTCCATGCATGTGTTTCTGTGTCATTGCATACACTGTACAAATATGTGAAAGATGGGAGCAGATAGTGTGTGTGTGTCTGTGGAGGCTGGCAGATTTGATGATGGTATAGTTGTTAAAGTGCTTCCGCCATGACATTATAATGCAGCCCACACGTTCAGTGATCACACACAAAACATTTATCTTTGCTGGAGCTGCTACTCTCTTCTGTAGTAGAAAGAGGGAGTGTGATTTTTGTGAGTCTGTCTGTCACTGTGTCTGTGTGTGTGAAATTTGTGGTGGAGTGGGGGAATAACACATTCAGTCATTTTTAGATTTAAATAGGAAAAGTAAAAGAATGTCTTTTAAAATTCACAGCTAAAAATGTGAATACTACAGAAACACTATGGTTTATTACAACTTGGGTTTTATTTTCGTGGCTCCAACCATCGCTTCTATCAGTTACGATAACATTTTACTCACCAAAGTAGCTGTGATATTGTTTGGCAGTGGCAACATTGCTAAAACTTTGCTAAAAGTATGATCAATACTGATACAATCTGCTGATGAAGGCATGTGCTCGGTCCTGGTACTCCTGGACCTTAGTGCTGCTTTTGACACCATTGATCACAACATCATGTTAGACAGACTGAGGCACTGGGTGGGGATCTCTGGTACTGCCCTAGAATGGTTTTCATCCTACCTGTCAAATAGGAACTTTTGCGTGTCTGTAAACAACTATGTCTCTTCGTTCTGTCCAGTTAAATATGGTGTGCCTCAGGGGTTGGTCTTAGGACCCATTTTGTTTTCCTTTTATCTGCTTCCCCTTGGACATATTATCCATAAACATGGCATTTCTTTTCATATTTATGCTGATGACACACAAATATACTTGCCCGTCAGATCCACAGACCCTGGAATGCTGAGTTCACTTAACAACTGCCTTTGTGAAGTTAAAAAATGGATGTCAAATAATTTCCTCCAGCTGAACTCCGAGAAAACAGAAATCCTGGTCATCGGGTCTCAGCAGATGGCAAATCAAATACTGCCATCTGCTGGTTCGCTAGTAAATCACATTAAGCCTGTGGCAAAGAACCTTGCTGTCTGGTTTGATAGTAATTTAAATTTCGAGCAGCACACCACAAAGCTTGTTCAATCATGTTTTTATCAACTTAGAAATATAGCTAAAATTCGATATATGTTAACTTTTAAGGACACCGAGACCATTTTACACGCCTTGATCTCATCACGCCTGGATTATTGCAACAGCCTTTTCACCTGTTTAACCCAAAAATCTATTGATCAACTCCAGACTGTCCAGAACTCAGCTGCCAGGCTTTTAACCAGAACAAAGAAATATGACCACATTACTCCTATTTTAGCTTCATTACACTGGCTCCCAGTATGTTTTAGAATTGACTTTAAAATTCTATTGATCACTTTTAAAGCTCTTCATGGCCTCTCGCCTTGTTATATTTCTGACCTTTTAGTCCCATACACACCAGCACGCACCCTGAGATCCTCGGGCAGAGGTCTGTTGTCTGTTCCAGAGTCTCGACTGAAAACTAAAGGGGACAGAGCGTTTGCTGTCAGGGCCCCGAGGCTCTGGAACAGCCTGCCCGAGGAAACCAGGTCAGCTGAGTCAGTGAACTCTTTTAAGTCCCTTCTTAAAACATACTTTTATAGGAGAGCCTTTCCCGATCTTATTTGACTTTATTTTATCCCTTTTATTTTATTGTATTTTACTAATTTTATATTTATCTGTATTTTAGTCTTTTCAGTGTTTTCATGCTTTTATCTTGTATTGTTTTTTGTATTATTGTCTCTTGGGTATTATTGTCTTTACACTTGTTAAAGCACTTTGTAACACGTTTTTGAAAAGTGCCCTACAAATAAGGATTATTATTATTATATTATTAATACTGACGGTAACAAGCTAGCCTGTCATTTCTATTGCCATCTTTACCGTAGCCGGTAAAGCACTTTGTAACAATTTACATGACTGACAAATGTCTTCAAGTTGTTAATGCTGTTTTAAAGTGTATTTGAACAGAATTAATAAACATAAAAGCTGTAATAAACCATTTTTATCCTTTAAGGATTCTTCACTAAGCAGGTAAAAAGTTATTTTTTATTACACTAAAATTTTGACGTGAGTCGCTAATTTGTTGTGATGAGAAATGCAGTATTAGTATCACACACACTAACACCCACCCTGTTGTGTTTCTGGGAACGTGACTCTTTGGCAGATTTGTCCTCTCTTTCTACATGATGCGTCTTCTGCTGTTGGGGCTTAGGTTTGTCAGCAGAGGGAAGAGTCACCAAACCTGGGTAGCAATGTCAAGAAAGTACAAATTCTAAGCATATGTCTGAGCAAAACAACACTTAAAAGAAAGAAAAATCATAATAATAAAATAATATGAATATAATTTAAACAAACTCAAATGTGGTCTTTGGATCTCCTGTAAAGAGTTGTTACAGTCGGAATCCATTTCTCTGTAAAGTCTATAGTATTTCGACAGGTTTTCAGAAACAACCCTGACAAATGTGAAGAGCTTGAAGTATAATTGGAATTCGTAAAATAAATATTAATAAAATCCATTCTTAAAAAATTAGAGAAATAAGAAATCATTTGCAAATCTTCTCTTATATAAGAGCTCACAGTCAGTTAGCTTAACTCATAGCTTCTTAATGCTATCATCATATTTCATAAAACATTTTAGGCCTAAAAAATACACCAACAAAATTCAGTTTATCATCATATATGATTATTTAAATGAATAAATAATTGTTTGATTAAATTTTCCAGATCAGTTGGGTTCTTAGCATCTTCTCAGGACTTCCTGCCCCCAGTCCCATCTACACAAACTACATCATGTTGAATTCATGGACATTGAGGACGTCAATCTGACAACAAGGGCACAGGACCAGACTTACATCTACGACTATTTAGGGAGAGAATTTACTTAAAAACGTTCCTTTTCATTCATTCTGTACCCTTCTATGTCGACAGTACTCTTTTTGCTCATACAGTAAACTTTTTTGCAGATACCTTAAGTAAGAGTTTTGGAAGTGTAGTTTGATATCGTCTTACTAACAGCTTCACCATAATTTTCTTTAATGTCACGGGTAATAGTGTGCAGACTCTCAAGCATATTTGTTTTGAATTTCTAGCACGTGTGCATGTTCCTACAACATACAGTGAGTGTCCTGTCATTAACACCATACACTGATAACAACACGGATTACAGTAGGTACTACTGTAACAACAGATCACTTTAGGGTGAGTGTTCCTTCCCAACTATTCCTTCCGACTGAAGGTTGAGTGTTCTTGTTTTACCTGAGGATGTGTGTCTTGCTACTGAAGAGGCAGCAGGGCTATTAGAGGAGGAGGTGGACTGGGATCTGCTTGGCTGTTGTCGAAGAGACCTAATGGCAGGGTGTGTCCCGCTGCTGCCACTGCTCTGAGAACAGAGGGAGTCACTGCTCTCTGACTTTACCAGCCTGGATCATGCACATAAACACACAAAGGCACAAACATGGCGAACATTATTAACACTTAAGAAAAGACATTCCTCGTACCACAACCCCAGGATCCACGCATCCACAAATCCATTCATTTATATGCTTGTCACTGCTAACCAGGACCAGCACGAAACACCATCATACCTCTTTCGAGGAAAACCTCCCATAATTTCTGTGTCCCACGACTTGCGCTTGAGTCGAGCTACATCAGCTTTCTGCAGAGTCTCTCCGTCAGGCACACTTCCTGGCTCTGACATCACAGCAGGGGAGGGGGCGGGGCTGAGAGCGAAGGGGAGGGCACAGGGCTCCTTGGAGCAGGTGGTTTGGGTCTCGTATCGAATCAGACGGGACTGGAGTTTTACAAAGGCCTGGTCTCTGTCCAAGGCCCGCTGGTTGTCCAGGCAGAACCTAGATGAACAAACAAAACAAAAAACTGCAATAAGTAACGAACGCTGATGTGGCTAATTACTTTCTGAGCTTCTACTGATCTTAACACATAGATGCCTGGACTGTAGCTGAATAGTCGCTGTATAGTTTGTAGAAACGTACTCTATGCCGTGGTAATGCGAGGCTGAGGCTTTGTTGAAGGGCATCTGGCTGACTCTCCTGGGAGAAAGGTCTGGTGACAACTGAAACACATTATTACTGAACGCAGAGAGAATGTGGGATAGAGCAGGGCGGGGGAAGAAGAAATGTGAGCACAAGGGAGGAGAAACAAATCAACAGTTTGTCAAAGAAAATCAATTAATTTTACTTCCTCTTCATTAAACCACAAATATAAATTTAACCAATTAAAAAACACACACAATTTGGCCTGACACAATTATTAGCTCTAACTGATGACTGCACTGCTGGAAAATAATGTTTTCTTCAACCCAACTCTATTTTTCTAGTAAGGTTGTAAGCTCAGTGTAGCAGACTAATGGATCTTAATCAAATCCTCATTATGGCCTCATTGACTGTCTGTCATTCCAAACCATCCTGAAACAACAAAGGTACTAGAGCTTGCCCGAATGTAATTTTTTGAGCTTCGACGCTTCTCTAGTAATTAAGAGCGAATCATCGAAGCTTCGCCAGCCCTAAAATATACACATACTGACTACAGTATGTGTAGGTTATAAATCTGTTCTTTTTTTCTGTACTTTGTCTTGTTTCATGACCATCTTTGTGTCTGCCACTCTCAGTGCCCGTGTAAAGGCCTGGTTACAGTATATGTACATCCACTTCAGTCGGTTCTTGTGTTTTTGAAAGCCTAATTTATAGAGCCAGACAAGTGCTATCTGAAGTTTCACGTCAAGGTGACACTCAGCATGGAGCCAGAAAAGATGACTGAACATACCCTCTGTTGATCGCGAGTGGTTGCAGCTCCGCAGTAGGTAGGCCATCAGACGTGAAGTGTTTTAGAAGTTCTTTGGCATCCAATAAAGCAGAGGAGGCCTTTTGACTTTCTTTAGGTCCCAGCAGACTGTCACTGGAGCCTGGGCCTAACAGACCAAATCTAAGACACACAATGTTGTACACTGTGTAGATCAAATAGAGTATATAAAGAACTTTTTATTAAATTAAGTAATATGTCTATTTAAATCTCATTTACCTCGTCTTCTGTCGTCTCCTCTGCAGGTTCTCCATGTTGTGGAGGACGCTCCTCTCAGGCCAGTCAGGCTGCAGGTTGGTAACTGTCTGAAAACCTGCAATGACAAAACAACAAGGCTTAGCTGGTCAGAGTTGTTGTTCCTACTGATTCATCTGGAAATTCCATTCCAGCAAGAAGAAGCATCTCTTACTGTGTGCAATGATTGAAAAAATGACCAGTAGTTGAGGAACTCACTAATTCTCTCACTCTTCTTTAAAACCTAAATAGGTTGCTTTCCAACATAAAAGTAAATTGTGCCCCCAAATCAGTTTACAACCAAATGAGTCTTAAAGTCTGAAAAGATAGATATAAGTTCATGGTACTTGCACCATTTTTAAAGTCAAAATGTCAATGCTTTTTAAAAGACCTTTTAAGACCTCAACAAATATCATTTACGTGCTAACGCAGGCATTAGCAGAGCCCCATAAGTTGCCGCAGCTTACCACTGGAGCATTTTAGCACTTGTGGTTCAATGGCCGTCCCCCCCCATGGTGCCTGACATGAACGTAACCACCTCCGAAACTTATCTTCCTCCAAACACTTTTCATTAAACTTGCATCTCCCTGACTAACGAAATGACGATAACGAAATACGACGCACAGCCAGACGTCAACCTCTGCAGCTAACGTAAACGTACCATAAAAACTATTAATGGCCTGTTCTCTCAATGGCCAATAGTAAGTTAATCAAACAAATACACGCTTTTAAGATGTTTTATGGTAGTAGGCCACAGTGTGTGACAATTTTCCCACCAACCTTAAACGCACCATCACAAAATTACAGCATATTTACGGTAAATTTAAGACAATTTATGACCTTATTATCCATGATTTTATTTTATTTTTTCTTTTTAATACCTTTTAGGGGGCCACGGGAACCCTGAAGTTGTGTAAATAAGGATTTAGTTGCCTGATATGGACATGCTTAAAAATACCAAGTAACTGCCCGGCCTCAGACAATTTTATAAAATTTGGCATTGACAAATGGACAAATTTGACCCATAAATTGGAGTTTATGGCATTGTCTATGAAGATTCTCAGTCATCCAGGTCATAGTTATCCAACGAAGGTTAAAATCAAGGGCAACTGGACTTGGTTGAAGATACTGGAAGACGTTTCGTCCCTCATCCAAAGGACTTCTTCAGTTCTGACTGACTGGCAGGGAAGCTCAGCTATTTAACCTCAGTGGGGTCGTTATCCCGGGTCATCGATACCGCTGGTTCGTTAGTGTTCCTTGTTGCTGTGACGACAGTCGTTAAGACTACCTGTGGCCAAGACTGAACGACCATCGTTGGTATCTTCACCTGAGGCCAATAGGTTATGTTTGTTGAGTTTCCTGGGAAGTTTGTATCCTGGAGAAGCCATTCCTTGCATTTATGGACTACCCAAGATACACAAAGAAGGAGCCCCACTCAGGCCGATTATCAGCAGCATTAACTCGGTCACCTATAACATTGCCAAACACATTTCTACCATCTTAGCTCCATTGGTGGGAAACACGCCTCACCACGTCCAAAACTCTATTGACTTTGTAAACAAAGTTCGAGGACTAAAACTGGATCCAGATGAAACCATGGTATCCTATGACGTGACTTCTTTGTTCACCTGCATCCCCACCATAGAGGCAGTAGAAACCGTTAGGAAACGGCTAACACAAGACAACACCCTGGACAACAGAACTAGACTCAGCCCTGACCAAATCTGCAAATTACTCGACCTCTGTCTAAACACCACCTACTTCCAGTACAACGGTGGATTCTACAGACAGAAGCATGGCTGTGCCATGGTCTCACCGGTATCCCCGATTGTGGCAAACATCTACATGGAAGAAGTGGAGAATAAAGCCCTCAACTCCTTCAGAGGAATAGCACCGAGCCACTGGTACAGATATGTGGACGACACCTGGGTCAAAATTAAAAGCCAGGAAGTGCAAGCCTTCACAGAACACATCAACTCTGTGGACAGTAACATCAAGTTCACACGAGAGGATGTTCACAACAACAGTTTGGCCTTCCTGGACTGCGCTGTACACATTGAAGAGGACAGGAGCCTGCAGATTGGTGTTTACAGAAAACCCACACACACAGACCAATACCTACTCTTCGATTCACACCACCCACTGGAGCACAAGCTAGGGGTCATGAGAACACTGCACCACAGAGCGGAAAACATACCAACAAGCGCCCAAGCCAGAGAGAAGGAACAGAACCACCTGAAGGGGGCACTTACAGCCTGTGGATACCCTAAATGGACCTTTGTGAAAACAGCCACAAGATCCAAGAAGAACAAAACTACAGGGGAGGAGGAAAAGAAGGTCAAATGCAACAACATTGTGATTCCATACATGTCTGGAGTATCAGAGAAACTCAGGAGGATTTTCAACAAACACAACATCCCTGTGTTTTTTAAACCCAAGAACACACTAAGACAGATGCTGGTACACCCCAAAGACCGCACACCCAAACACAAGAAAAGCAATCTAGTGTATGCGGTCCAATGCAGTGAGGAATGCACAGACCTGTATATTGGGGAGACTAAACAACCACTACACAAACGCATGGCTCAACACAGAAGGGCCAATTCCTCAGGTCAAGACTCTGCAGTCTACTTACATCTGAAGGACAGAGGACACTCGTTTGCGGACCACCAGGTGCACATTTTAGACAGAGAAGATGGATGGTTTGAAAGAGGTGACAAGGAAGCCATCTACATCAGGGTTGAGAAGCTGTCATTGAACAGGGGAGGGGGTCTACGCCACCACTTATCCCCCACTTACAATGCTGTCCTTTCATCACTTCCCAGGAAACTCAACAAACATAACCTATTGGCCTCAGGTGAAGATACCAACGATGGTCGTTCAGTCTTGGCCACAGGTAGTCTTAACGACTGTAACGACTGTCGTCACAGCAACAAGGAACACTAACGAACCAGCGGTATCGATGACCCGGGCCAACGACCCAACTGAGGTTAAATAGCTAAGTTTCCCTGCCAGTCAGTCAGAACTGAAGAAGTCCTTTGGATGAGGGACGAAACGTCTTCCAGTATCTTCAACCAAGTCCAGTTGCCCTTGATTTTAACCTTCGTTGGAGTTTATGGCATTATGTTGTAGAACAACAAACAACCCAGTACACTGGCACAGGCAACGTGGGTACTGTATGATGGATTGCAAGAGTCTGTCCCAACTCTTGGCAGACAGAAACCTGAACAAATGAAATTTCAGCATCCAAAATATCATCAGTCTGCCCTTTTCCTGTGTTTGGACAGGAAGATTATATGTAATCTCAAGGAGGACAGAAATGTGATGAACCTGTAAACAGCAGGTTCACCAATAAATTGAGGGTTTTTCATGCACAGCAATGGCCTGAGGTTGTGCTATAATAAAAGAGACGGAAGCTCTACACGAACAGCTTGACAGGCGACACAAAGTCATTCACACCTTTGGTGACGCATAAATGCAAAAGAGACTCCTTATGGATTGCAGAGCCTGTTTACTACTGTAAACAGCATTCCCTTGTCCAGAGTAGAGTGGGCAAGGAGTATGTTGAAAAATAACCTAATTTGCACCTTAGAATGTATATGTCTCTACATGTTTACACCCATCATCACTTCTGTTTTTGAAGCCTACTGGCTCACCTAACAAAATCTTAGTATATCCTTTACGTGAGGTCCTGGAGATCTAAATACTTGTAAATGTTATAGAAGATAACATCGGCAGGATACACACAAAGACAAGACCAATTATGTGTGACTGTTTTAAAAGAATTAAACCTGTCTATTCTAATACAATTGCACTTGCTGAGACAATGCCTCAATCTAGTAACCCGGAAACAGCAAAAAATAATTGCCAAATAATGACAAAGCACATGAAAACTACTTGACATGCTGGTCTATTAGCCCCACCACTCCATTTTTAAAACCAACACCACCCTCGTTGTGCACATTTAGCTATAGCCACAGGCTGGGACTTGTTTTATTATTTGTGTATTATTAGCTGGCATTGTTTCCTAAAACATCCTATGATTATGTGTGAAGTGAATACTGATGCACTGCTGTGTAACACACAAGTCAGTATGTTTTGTATTGGGAGATTTCTATTGTACTGTTCATTCTGTGCATATATTTAGATTGGCTTAATAATCTAAGGTCAATTAACATATGCAGTTTCATAATAGTTGAAGTTTTATAAGTATCACACAGGTCCCCAGTATCATCAAGTCTAAAAAACTTCCAACTTCCATGTCAGCCTCCTTCGTTACCAATAATTCCAAGGGTGAAAAAAATCCGGACATTCGTATTTCCTGCTCATACATAAAAAGAACTACAGGAAGTGTCAAACAGCTGGTGGTATAATGGCAACAAAAGCCATTGTGTATGTTATGTAGCATTGATGTGAAAATACCGTTGGCTTGTTTTTTTCTCATTTCATACCTGAGCTTTTGGCGGCCATGCCCTCCTGCTCGTCTGTCAGACAGGTGGCAACAGATGGCAGAGTGGAGTCAATCATCTTCAGGTACTGCTCCCTGGCCAGACTCAGAATGACCTTTAAGTCATTGACGCGTATTGAGGTTGAGGCCGATGCTTCTTCTTTCTGCCCTGGACACACAAACAGAGGCTGTTTAGTTTTTGGTTCCCTGGTAAACTTTACAGCTTGGTAAAATGGGGGAGATTCTTGGCCTGTGTGTTCTTGGTACTAATGGGTGGGTTAAGAGTTGATTTTCTTCCAAAAACTTTTAGATTTCAGCAGCACTGGGTAATTATACATGTTGGTTCTTCCAAATAACAGCAAATCATATGGCACCTAAACCAAAACGGACATCCTGACTCACACAGACCACATGTTATTTGATTTAATTCATTTTATTTATTGTATATTTGGTAAAATTAACTTATTCATAAAGGCTGTCTTAATGCATTTATCTTCTTCCTGAGGTAAAGTGACAATTAACCATGATATGGATTTCAGGTAATACTGCTCAGCCCCTGGCAACATATAATTGCTTTTGGATTGAATTTAGGCTGCAATTATTAATTAATTAAGCTGCAATTATGCAATATGTGGCCCTGACTTTAAAGAAGCTGTAGTATTTGTTATGCAGGCTTAACTTCTTCAGTGGAACAGCAAATGCTCTCAAACTCTGGATATTTTGAAGAGGTGTCCCAGGAACAAATATGGGCAGGTGAAATGATCAAAGGCATTTTATAGTATTAGTTTATTAAGCAAAACATCTGAAATAGATATTTTCCTGTTTTGACTAGATTGAGTATTTTTTATATTTGTTAACAGAATCTGCACAGTGACATGGGTGTGATAGGGCAATTTAAAAAAGCTTCACGTTAGATTAGAAATGGTTGAGTTAGGTATCCAGTTAAATGGAGACTTGGAGAAAAATGATAAATGGAGCCCTTGGCACGGACACACAAGAGTTTGCATACTTATCTCACAGACTTATTACAGCCTGAAAGAAACACACACACACATACAGAAGTACTCATTTCCTGTGAAGTGTAACTTCTGCAGCTTATGAGGACATGCAAAGCCAGAATATACTGCAATGAATTTCATTAAGGTCTGCGGTCTGTCAGAACACTTCATTCTGCTCATGGCCTTTTCAAAGAACAGCCCTACTGCTTTTCGTCAAGTCTGAAGAATTTCACTCCACTTCTTTTAATCTTGCGCCACACCACTGGTGTTTCACTATCTTCACCTGCCAAGGGGACATTATGTGTGTCTGTAAAATAATGATACTCCAACACAGTCTTTCTATGCACCAGCTTGTGCTGAGGGTTGGTGAGAACTGAGAGTTCAAACTGACAACAGTTCAGGAAGCTTTGAGTGGCCCCGACAGCTGATATATCCATTCGGATTTGTCTCTCTGGTATAAATACATCTCTTAAATACATTTGATCTCAAATTAATTGATAATAGTCAACACTGAGGATTTATGTCTAATTTCATACATTTCTTTCCACCAGCAGGTGCCTGAAATAAGCAAATGTACACTGCTGGTCTGGCTCTAGTTTCAAAGAAGTCTTAATTTATTATGTTATTATGTATAATTAATTAATGTATTGTGTTATACATGTAACAGCTCCAACAACAACTTTTTAAATTATTGATTAATTTGCCAATTATTTTTTCAATTGATGGAAGCTGGAACCAGCAAATATTTGACATTTTCCCTTAAAAAAAAACAAACTGAAATGATTAATCAATAATCAAAATAGCTGCCAGTTTGTTTTCATTGACAGTTAAGCCACTCATTCTTTTATTCCAATTAACTTTATCACATTAGATTAATTAAAAGTATTACATAGTTTTTATTACCTGTTTCTGATCCCAAGAAACATGAATACACAGATTTAATATTAGTCCAGAGTGGTTGTGTCAGTCTGGATAACATGAAGATGATGAGATAGTGAAAAGGACTAATTAAAGACACCACAACAAAGGGATAGCGAGATGAAGTCAACACATCCTTCTTAAATAATTCCCATCACACAGTAACAATGACTGCTGCACAGCGTGTAGTGTGGAGGGTTTATATATATGCGTGTCTGTCTTTAACTCAACATAAAGTGAAGAGTACCCTTGTGTTTCAAACAATGTTCTTGATGAAAAGCTACACCACCATTATTAGAAAGGTAAAAATATGTAATGTGAAAAATCTGTTGCCATAAAACTCGCAAATATGTTCTCTCCTCTATTGTTCTGTGAGTCACTTCCCCATCCTGCTTGGGGGCATAACATTGTGACTGACATATATAAGTGAGCTCAAGGTGCTGTTCTGAAGGCTTGTCTTGGTTATTATCCTACATTAGCATGCAAGCAACTAATAAAAGCACTACGGTAGCGCTAAAATACAACATAGTGATGAAATATGTTTGGCTACAAGAGTGTGCAATCATTTTATTCTGAGGTGTCGTTTCCATCACTCTTTAAATGTAGTACTTACTGAGATATTCTTTGAGCACCAGTGTCTGGACCTGGGTCACCTTCCTCTCTCTGTTCAGCAGGCTGTCTCCTTGGAGACAGGGCAGAGGGCAGAGGATGTTGCCTCCAAATCCTCCTACTCAAAGAAAGAGATGTAGTTAATGGGGGAAAAATTATTATCAGATACTTTACAAACCTCTATTGTGTATTGTTTAGACAGGAACACAAAAGAGAGTTTATGGGGTACTCCACCAATTGTACACAAAAAGGTCACTTTACGTCAAATATTGTACAAAACCTGTATTAAAAGCTGAGAGCATGGGGATAGAACAGGCAAGGATGGTCTAATGAATGAGTTGCATTATGAGGGTTGAAGGATCCAGTGTTTTTGGAGCTTGACCAACATTATGAGAGAGATGAAAAATATCACTCTTGGCTGAAAGTGCTCACAACTCATAAATGTTACAAGGGGTTCAAAGTTGATGTTGCATAAGGTAAAACATTTGGGAACCACTGAACCATTATAAAAACTAAATAAAACGAAGACTGCTGCTGCAATACTTTGCACTAAATATATGGTAAATAAGGCAAATTAGTAACCCAAAAGACACACAAAACTCACCCGGAAATCTAGTACTGGACACAAAGTTATACTGAGTATTTTATGCTTTTGTTCACGTGCAACAACCCTCAGAAGAGCATTTCAAGAGGCAGCACAACGGCTGTGCTGTGTCACTGTAGCAGTTGGGGCACCTTTTATAGTCTTGCTCTGCATTTAAAACCCATTTCAAAAATGTCTTAAATAGGTTTCATAAAAAGGTTAAAAACAGCAGGAACTCTCTGGAGGAAACACCACAGTAGGTCTCTTGAATATCATATGAAGCCCAAGAACAATGAAGGACTTTCACTGGGAAAGATGCTTTAAGTTTAGGGAACAAAAACAAACAAGTGTCTGCCCTTCAAGTCAGCCATAACCAGCCAAGGTTTTTGATCAATCATCCCTGCAGTTCGTCCTAAATACATTACATACATTCACTCAATTCCTCCTTTCTCTGCCAATCCATCTGAGCCTTCAATACTTTTTCTCACTCTGTTGTTCGTTAATTGATTTTTCTTATTTTAGTGGTAAAGACGAGGAAATCCTTAACGGTGCAGTGACAACTCCCCAGTGCTGTGAGAGAAGAGGGAGGAAGAGGTGGCAAAAGAACGACATGTAGGCCAAATAAGAAAATCTCACAGGATATCAATCAGTCAGGAGGGCCAATAGTTTTTGTAATACAGGTTAGCCTGATGAAAAATGACAACCCCTCAACTTCTGTTAATAAAGCCAGAAGGGCTTCTACTCCCACAAGCTGAAGAGCTGCTTGAAGAAAATCTGGGTTGATGGGTATTTCTTTACAATATGGCAGACAACAAATTGCTACTATGTTCAAATGCCTCCAAAATGTTAATAAAATACAAGACTACTCTTTAAATTTGATTACAGTACCACAGAGGTTTAAAAACACTGAGCTGCCCCTCCCCAGAGGTATGCAGTAGGAGTGTGAGGTGTCAGGTGCATGCTGGTGTTCTTAAAAACATGGCAAGTTAGTTAATGTAGTTTGGATGGCTGATGTGGTGCACTCAATAATACAGAACAGATAGACGTGATTCATATTTTTAGATTCAGTGTAACAAACACTTCCTGAGGAAATCATTATCTCGCAAAAAAATGTCAATAAGTCACTTAAGCATACAAAAGAATCCTTATAAACAGAACTTAACTGAGAATCGTCATGTTTTCTTCAGTATCAAAGTAATTAACTGATAGCTGTCTGTACATACTGTACATGGGTAAACACTGCAAAAAGGAATTGCAAATAGCTAATTCAGCATACTTTTAATGATGCCACTTTGCCAAAATGTTAACAAATATATGATAAAGAAAATGGGGCTAAATTTGCAGTCCACAGATAACTGAACTACAGAGCATGATTATCTACTAAATAAGTAAGAGAATAACATTTTAGAAATTTTTCATGTTGCACTATCAAAGTTTTTTTTAACATTACTAAGGGGAAGGGGAAGGATGACTGATTTAATTTGACGGGGTGCCACCCCCTGCGGTCCAAGTTTATAAAGTTAGATTTTAAGTTTTTTGTCTCTTTCTCACTCTCTCAAAACAGCCTATCAGGTCCAAGAGGATTTGATTCAAGGGTTTAGCAAATTAAAGTGACATACACACTGACAGTAGTGCACACACAGAAGTACACACAGTAGCTCCTCCATGAACCCGACAACATAATATACCTGATGATGACAGAGACTTCTCTCTCAGCAAGCCAGAGATGGTCGCCATGGCAGCTGCTCCATTGATCTGACTGTCCGAATGCAACATCCTGACCCTGCAGGTGCCACAACCAACGTCGTCTGAGCCCTGGACCAACAGGAAGTAGTGAGCGCTCTCACCTTTCACCTCTACGTCAGGCACTACAGTTGCGCAGCCAGAAGGAAAGAGATAACATCAAGAGTTAATCCTCGACAGAAGAGGAATTTTATTTTTTCATATTTTACAAACTTGTTAACTTGAAAAATATCAAAGTTACCCTTTAAGGTAGGGCTGAATGATTTTGGAAAAAAAATTGTGAATATTTTGACTGATATTGCAATTGTGATTTGATTTGTGATATTAGAGGGAATGACCGTTTTTACATAATTATTCCCATTTAATTGAAAAACATATTAAAATGAAATGGTGTGATCTGTACCAAAGATGTTTACATAAGTCTGTATATGATCTGCAGCCTACAATATTTAATTTAAAATGATATACTGACACAAATATCACCTCCTGTGATTTTAAAATTGCAGTAGGCCATATTGCAATTTCAATCAAATTTAGGTTAATTGATCAGCCCTACTTTAAAGATGTGGTTATATCATTTGTATCTTGTCTCTGGGGCTTTAACTATAATTAATAAAACCAAGTGACACCTCTAATCGTCTAATAGACAAGCTTAGTGATTCTACAACAACATCGGAGTTACCTCCCGTAGTCCGGCCGGTGCAGCTGGCAAGCAGCGCACTGGCTGTCACTCAGGAGGGACTGTGCCTCTTCCATTGGTGAGTTTTGTTGGAAACGCCACCACAGATATTCCCTTAGCTGACTGGTTGGTTGGTGTGTGTGTGTGCTGTGTATGATACAGGAGCATGCGCCGATCTTCACTGTACGCTAACTTTACTACATGTGTCTTTCTGTTGGCCATATTCTCTGTCTGTCCAAGTGGCAGACGGCTCGATGATGTCACCACTGCCAACAATTTACCTGCATTTGACGTGTGGCGGGTGCTAATTTCAGACCTTGGTTGCAGCTCTACTTGTTTTATTTTCTGATGTTTTTCCAGTGGTGTTTTCCAAATTGACTCAGACCCACTTCAGAGTCTGCTTTCCCAACAGAAGCCTTTATTATCTATATCAGAGCAGTCCTAGTTACCAATTTATTTCCCCATGGAAGGTGATAGGGATCCTCTCTGTTGTCGCCAAATGGTCGTCCATTTAATGAGGGCTTGAAAATAATAAAAAAACTGTCTTACTGGGTAAGGACTTTGGTCTCCTGGCTATAGACTCTCTCCAGCGTTGGGAGCTGAGTTGGCTGGCTGCGGGCTGGATGATGGGGGTTATTATACAGGACAGGCTGAACAGCGCTCCAACCTGGAGACAGAAACACAGTAGATAAAATATACGCACAGTCCCTCCGTCCCATGATACACATGATGAATGACGATTCTTACATGCATCTTCTGCTGTATGTCCTATGTACGTTGACTGGGGACTAAAGTAAAAAGGTTTCCTTCTCAAGTAGATATTCAAGTGCAATTAATTTACTTCATTGGAAATTAGAGTTCTATTGCAGACGTTTTCCAATATTTGTACATATAAGAGCAAAGCTTAGGGACAGATACCTTTCCACACAGTGACCTCAGCTGGTCCAACAGAAGTTTAGCTTTCATTGACTTCCCAGAGATGCTTCTGTTTGTTGGTGAAGGAACAATACTATATTGAGGAACAGATGTTACCATCCACCTTCTGAGACAGGAAAAGTCCTAAGGGACTGCAGTAAAAACAGTAGAAACAGCAGTATATAACCCTTATTTAATCAGCATAATCAAAGCTATATATCGATAAAGAATAATGGTTGTTTTATTTTTGTGTTACTCAAAGAGGTTGCATCTACATGCCAATATATAGAAGTTTGAACATACAGTGTTTCAGTTGGGTCTATTTCAATGTGGATGGAGTTAGACATGGTGCTACTTTGGTTCCCAAGAAACACACGCACACACACACACACACACACACAAAATGAGGATACAGTTCAAACTGGGTTCTGGACATCAGAAAGATGGGCAGGTCTGACAGATTAACCAGCTGAACCAAATCTAAAACCGGAGCGTAGTAATGGAAGACCTGCAAACACAGAACAGACAGACAGTTGTGAAGGAGAAAGAATAAAAAAGGAAAGAAACAAACACAGAAAAGAGGATGAGGAGACAAAATAACAGTTTACCACACACAACAGCGCCTGAAAAGAAAGAAATCACAGTGGCATGTCAGGCAACAGCTTCAGGAGCCGGAAACCATCCATCAATTGGAAGACTAACTGAAGTGTCCTCAAGCAAGATACCGAACCCTAACCAGTTCAGTTCAGTTGATATAACAGACCCTAAAATCTGATCATTCTCGGTCCCAAATCTGGATTTGGACGTTCAATGCAATGTTAGCAAACTATTATTTTGGTACATCCAGATCCGTCCAAGTGCTTGCGAGGAAAGGAAGATGATGGTGAAAGAGTAAGATTTAGACATAGACAGAGCACAGACACCCACTTGTTAACTATTTAATTACCTAAACACTAGGGTTCCAGTACAACTAACACTTATTTTCATCAGTCAATTAATTTTTTGGTTATCTGCTTGCTTGGTTAAATGTCAGAAAAAAGGACAAAAATGCACAGCACAAGAGCAATCAGCTAAAGTTGAAGTCATAAAATTTTTTGTCCAAATACTACCACAAAACACAAAGATAAACAATTCACAATTGTATTAAGTAGAGAAAAAGAAAATCAGCAAATCTAACACTGGAGAAAATGTCGATTAACTTTCTGTTGACCAACTAATTGCTTAACTGACTATTCCTTTCAGCATTACTAAACGCATTAACACCAACCAATTATCTTCTGTCAGTAACCAATCAGGAGCTCAACACATTGTAGCTCACAATAATAAAAAAAAGGCCTACATTTCAACAAGTTTGTAGCTGTCCCACTTATCTAATGAGCTCATTATGTTATGAGGAAATCTATAACATATATAAATTTCTCACATGGAAAAGCAGGTCGTTTGCATATACAGTAAATTACAAGAATACCAAGGAAAGCCTCAGATCTCAAGCTCATAATTTATTGATCTGGAACAAAGAATGAAGTGTCGACCTATTTCTGATCCAGACTCCTATACATTAAGAGAAGATGATGATTTTAATGAACCCGGGATGAATTCCCAGTTTCGCTGGCACTGAAACTTTATTACTCGCTTGTCCAAAACAACTGAAGAGAATGACTATTGCAGTGGCCTGAAGAGATGATCCAAACAGATCATTAAGACCTCCAATATTGAATTGTCCTCATTACTTGAAATTATCCTGTAAAATCTATCTGTATATTTGAACATACTCTGGTTGATTCAACATGTAATTACAGCAAAGGTGACTTTATTCTGATTTCTGTGGTGTTTTTTTGTCAAGAAAAGCAACAGTTAAGTTGTGTTACACTAATGTCAGCCATCAAGTGACATATTGCGTGTTTATTTGTGAAAGGCAGAGGTGAGATAACCACACGTCTTCAGTGTAGCCTCAACAGATCAGCCATCAACAGTTGTTGAAAACTGATGAAGCTTTCAGCAGTGACAGACTAATGCATGACGTTTACTGCAGACTGATTACTGTAGGCTAAATCCCAAAAGACTGATCTCTTCTTGTATTAAGCCATTGTGGTCAGTGCTGAAAATCTATATCTAGCACGACTGTGTTCTAGCAAAACTGACTATTGATTCCACCAAAAATGTACTATATCTATCTACCGTATCTATGCAAGTTTTACAACAACAAATAATAAGAATATGATATCAGCATGTCTGTACTTCAAACCTGCCTGCAGGTTACTCCTAATATGCAGCAGATTTGATAATTCTCACACTGAACACACACTTCAGGTTTGGTGCTCAAACAGCACAGTGTGTCCTCCCTGCTGGCTGAGGCAGGACGTGCGTGTGTGCTAGGCCCCCTTACTGTCAGGAATAACTGTCGTGAAAATTACTAATAGTTTTTGTCTGAGCATAGTTTAGATTGTGTTTATGCAACTCATTTTCCAGTCTGATATCCCAGCAGTGTGGAGATGTGATAGTTTTGTTGTCCTCAGAGCTTTTTTGTTTTTTTTATTGTGTGCCAAGACAATCACTGCCATCTGCTTCTCTGAACAGGGATCTGATGAGATCACACACCCACACACAAACACCGTCTCAATCTCCATAGACGTGTAGATGAGCAGCGCACACACACACACACACACACACACGCTTCTGTATTAACTTAATATCGATCACACACAACAACATACGCTCAGATTTGAATTACTGTTATTTGTCTCTGAGTTGGTGGCTGTTGTAGTGGCATAATGAAAAGTGGGTAAGCACTTATCACTAAGACTATCATTCAGCAATTTACAAAATAAGTAACAATTGTAATGTAACATCCCCCATTGTTATCTAACTAAGTCACAAAATTCATATTTACAGCTGAAACAATTTGTTGACTAGTTGTTTAAGTGAGGTAACAAGCAACAAGACCAGGAGTCTACAGCCATGCTAGCGGTTCTGTGAGGCTGTATTGGGCAAAATGGTGCTATGAGCTGAATGCTAATATCAGCATGCTAACATGCGCACAAGAACAATGCTAACACACTGATGTTTAGCAGGTAATTAAACACTAATTATCAACTAAGTTGGTGACTTCATTTAACTTGTAAACATTAGGGGTTGGAGAAAAAAAATTGATTCTTATATGAATCGATTAACAAATTCCAAAAATCGATTTTTTAAATGTTAAATAATACGGTAATGTTGGTGGAACGCAAAAGGCAGAACTCTCTGTAGTGCGGAAGTGCGGCGCCTGGACAGGCTGTGGGAATGAATAAACTACTACACACCCTACTAAAATTTAACATGATCATTAATATCAATGCACAATTTTCACTGTTACACTGTGTGAGCACGGTAACACACATTGCTTTGCTGACTCCCTGTGTGTGCGTAGCGATTGAGTGGGCGAGCAAAAGAGAGAGAGTGTGCAACAGAAAGTGACGTCCAGTGTAGGTCACAGTGTGACGTTAATAAAAGTCTGTCATTTCCCCAACAGCAGGAAAGTGAAGGCGGTTAGCGCTAGCTAACATGTCTCTTGTGTTTTGGATGCCATGTAATGAAATTTAATGCAATCCCCTGGAGCCATGTCGCAAATGTGGCTAAAAAAAATTTGAGAAGTTCCAGCTTGTCCAATGTGAAGATTTGCTGCTTTTCTTTGTTTCATATGATTGTAAAATTACGCCTTTGGGTTTTGTACTGTTAAAACAAGACGTGCAAATACATCAACATGGACTCTGGGAAACTCTTCACTACTTTCAACATTATAGACAAAATGACTTAATTGATTAATTAGGAAAACAATGAGCAGAATTAATTGTTACAGTGGTTGCTGAGCTAACGTTTTCCTTGTTTTTGAAAAAATAACAGCTTAAAGAAGTACCTTATTGTCAATAATGTTGACACATGAACATTAACTGACATTAACCAAATGACCTACCAAATGAAGGTGAGGTTTGCACTAAAAGTATGCAAGCTGTGAAAGATGGATAGGCAAAATCATCTCCACACTTCTGAAAAAAGCTCAGAAACAACTATATTTTTTTAGGAAACTGAAGAAGGCCAAATTCCCACGCCAAGTTCTTGTCAGCTTTTATAGAGGAGCAATAGAAAGCATTCTGACCGGAAACATCATAAACTGGCATGGGATGTGCACGGCCCAGGACCGGAGGGCTCAGCAGCGGGTGATTAAACTGCTCAGAAGATCATTGGTACCCATCTCCCGAGCATCAGCGATATCGGTGAGGTAAGGTCCCTACGCAGAGCCCAAAGGATACTAAAGGACAGTACCCACCCCAGCCACAGCCTGTTCACCTTACGGTCTTCTGGGAAGAGATATAAGAGTTTCTGCTGCCACACAACCAGAATGCAGAGCAGCTTTCCCCCCCCCAAGCAATCAGACTCTTAAACTCTAATTCATCCTCAGCACTGCTCCATTGATTACAGTTTACCATTTTTATAATTGCTTCTGTATTAATGTATATTGTCTGCTATGTAACAGAAGGAAGTTACAAAACTCAATTTCACTATCCTGTTATATTGTGACAAATGCATGTACCTACCTAAAAGATGAGCGCTAAATCTATTAAGGAAGATGTGACTTCAACCTACAGATTCCCCTCATTTACACCCATGGGCAATGGCCTTCTGTGAGAAGATGTTACATTTCTATTTAAATACCATTTTCTGCCTGTGAGGTCATCAGAGGTACATGAGTTCGGCACTCGTTTGGCCGGATAAAGTACATTTGATTTATCTGACTGATGGTCCATCTGTCACAGGTTCTTCAATGTGATTAAAGGGCAACGGGGAAGTGGCCCTTTTGAACTCATCTCCTTCTCGCCACCAGAATTCATTAGGAGATGGGACCGTATGCAGCTCTTTCAACTCTAGAAGGTAAGATGTGGGTTGGACTGGGGTTAAAGGAACAGTTCTGCCCAAAATGAAAATTCTGTACTTATCTACTCAACATCTTGTCAATCAAAACCTCCCCTAAGGTTTGTAGGAACACGGACACACGTCTTCTTCCAAGCTGCATGAACAACCTCATAACACATTACATTTCTCCAAACAAGGTCTCCTCACTGACAACACTTGGATCAAGTGCAGAGCCTACAGCACTCTGGCAGAAGATTCTGCTTGCTACTGTGGGGCAATTTCTGGCATGGAGAACAAATCTTTGTCAGAGAGTAAGAAACAAGAAATAATGAGGACAGACTTTTGAAACCACATTGCAATTGTCTGGCAATGAAACCCAAAGATTTAGCTGCCTGAGGTGTTTGGAAAAGTTCAATGAGATGACAAAGACTGGTGCTAGACCCCTGAATCGCTGCCCACATCTCCAATTTCTTCAGTGATTCAAATAGGTCTGTTGTTGTACCTACTGACTGCAGTTTCCCCAGTTGGAGAAACCTATCAGAGCTTTGAAGGAGGGATTACAGAGGAGGGGCTGATTCTTTCTAAATACTGTATCTTGCTTGCTATTCCGCTACACCCATGAAAAATGGCGACATGTGTGGATGAAATGGACAGAGATATATGGGTTGTTAAAATAATAACTCTTTAATCACCATAATTATTTGATCACTGTGATTAATGCAATCAAAAAGGTACCCTGTGAAGTTTTCTTGTTAACAAAAAAAGTTGTTCACATTCATTCTCTCACCGAAATACACTGGGATGCAAGAATCCATAACTTTCTCTTTTTTTCTCCATATGATGGCCTCACGTCAGATTCAGCAAACACTCCTACCTTCAGATGACTGTGTTAACAACCCGCATAAAAAAGATGCGGTGATGCTGTGAGCACATGAGCCGCATTGATGAGAATTAGCGTAACTAACGCCCCAATAATAATATACAAGGCTAAGCGCCTCGCCCCATATGGTTGGAAGCATTCGTTCACTTTTTACAATTAAGGGACAGGGTTGGATTTGTGTGTCTGTCTGCAGAGTTGCTATATGAATACATTTAAAATAAAATTATAATTCAAACTGAAGAATCAAACAGGATAATGTCAACATAATTGTGTAGTGTAATATATATAGGATTTTCAAACTCAAAATATCTTCAAAGTAATGAAATATACAATCCATTCGTGAAAAACTTGGGTTGGGATAACAGCAGACTAATTGCACATGACTCCTAAGACACGTCTGGACCACTTGTAGTGTGTTCATGCCTAAGAGAAAATTCAAGACAAGTTCTCTCAAATCACTTCAAAATCTGTTCATACAAGTGTTTCTTACCCATTGTGCGTAATCTTGAGGTCGAAGAAAGACGCTGAATGCTTTTCCTTCCTCATAAAACATTTGCAAAGCTGATATTTCATGTTTACTCGCTAGCAGTCTTATTCTTCCCTGCCTTTGTTGGCACATTCCTGCAATTCCTTGCATGTTAGCGCCACCAACTGTTGATCAGCGGAATAGCGTGAAACTAGGGGCACGATGTGAATTGAACCATCTACACAGAAACAAAATTGGGACTCCCTCATAGAAACATTGTTCCATAGCGCTACAAGTGGTCAAAGATGTGAGAGGTAGTGAAGTGCTCAGGACTTACCTCAGACTGTAGTTTATGGTCTGTAGTGGTGTAGGGAGCTTGCAACAAACTGCCCCCTGATATCTGATGCACCGGATTGCGCAGAGAAAAGCCATCAAAACGGAGCTCCGACACATACTGAGGCGCACACACACACACACACACACACACACACACACACACACACACACGAGAGAGAAAAGGTCAGATAGCAGCAAGTGATATTATTCTTTTGATAAAATTACACATAATATAACTATAGCTGTAAATTAGTTGTTGTACTACACAGAACAGAGATACATAAGTTGTTTGGAGTCATGCAAATTGCAATGACATTACAGTATATATATATATATCTCTATCTATCTATCTATCTATCTATCATGCAGTGTTTGCTCTCAAATCACAAAAATAGCTGTAACGTGGTGGTGGTTACTCATAGACAGGGTTTTAGTCCTTTGGGAATTTGTTCCACCGCTCTCCAACTGTGACGCTTTTACTGACTGACTGCCGAAGCCCAACTCTCTTCTGAAGGCAGCAACTTAGAAAAGGTCACTTCAATGAAGGAGAGGCTGCATGCTTGCCTCAGCATACTCGGAGCTCAGTAGACAGAGGAGAGATAACTGGGGAAAACTTTTTCAAGCATGCAATAACATATAAAAATCCAGCTGTTCAGATTATAGTGTGACCGAGTTTTGAAAATCTGATGACATATCGGCCTATATTTGTTTTATTAAAGATTTTTGACAAGGATCCCTTGAAATCTGTTTACATTTTTTGAATTGCTGCTTTAAACTAGGGCTGAAACGATTCATCGATGAAATTGATTACTAAAATGCATTGGCGGAAATTCTTTGCATCGATGCTTCGTTTAATCCATATAACTATCCAGCACAGTGTTTCACACGGACATCATGCTTACTCTGTGAATAAGAGGTGATTATAATGGCGCTGTTTGAAAGTGGAGGAAGAGAGAGAAAATAGCAAGGGACAAAGAAGAAAGTGTCCAAGGTATGGGATTATTTCAAGCTAAAAGAAAAGAGTTAATGTTACCATCCGTCCACTGTAAAACGAAACTTATGTCGCCTCTGCAACAGCACGACGGCATCTGATCAGAAAGTACCTGGTGTTCTGCCAGCAGACCACAGACAAGGTAACAGTAACGGCAACTTTAGCATTTAACTGAAATCATGACCGATTGTTGAGTTGAAGGCTAGCCAAAGTAAGCCGCAACTTAGCTGAAAATGTGCACACGTGCATTTGTTGTTCTCCTTTTTGGACCGTGAGTTATAACCTCAGTCATGAGTTAACTGGGTGTCGGGGAACTGCACCTTTTTACTCACCTGCAGCTCTCTCTGTAGCACAGACAATCCCTGCTACCTGCGTGTGCTAATCCATCCTTTCACCTTTATAATTGCTATCGTTATTATAAAAAAAAGCTGTTTTGTGTTCAGGATCACTCATTTCCCATTTTAACATTTCACATGTGTTTTCTTGACAAAACGTGGTTTGGAGACCCGCTTCGGGTGGCAGAGCTGCTGTCAGCTTGTGTAGTGTGTGACCCCCTGTCACCGATCAGTCACGTAGTGTGAACACCACAACGACTTCAAGACTCCCGTCACAAGGCGGCAAGTTGTGTAGTGTCGCAGCATCAGCCAACGCTGAAAGTCGTGTAGTCTGCACAAGCCTTTAGTATAACTTGTATAGCACTACGGTGATGTTTGTGTTTGTAAAGCAGTTGTCTGGTTGTTGGTCTGTTGATGTTGGTCTGATGTTTGCTGTATGACACACTATGAATTTCCGAAAGGACCAATAAATATCTATCATCTATAAATGTGCACAGCTGATCCCGCTACCGTGGGCGCCGCCGCCATGTAAATGTAGCCTACTTCTTTAACGACGCATAGATGAATCATTGAAATAATCTATAGAAGCTTCGAATACTAAAATAATTGTTGGCTGCAGCCCTACTTTAAACATGTCAGGGTAGAACACAAACAAACTTGATGAGTGAACTAGAACTTGGATCAAAATAAAACCATATGTGGCCTTTGCTACAGAAATACATCAGCTTTATTGGACTTCATTTAAATATTATTTCAATGGGAATCTTGCTTCTATATGTCAAAGAATGACTATTAAGAACATTTCCAATCTCTCAGGCTTAAAACCCTTTGAAAACATTTAAGGTTACGTTAAACATGCATAGTCACATGTAATTTTTGAGCCATTTCAAGATACCAATGTTGTATATTTTTAGATACAAACGGCTCAATGTTTAAAATGATCACAAAATGGTAAACTGAAAATCTCAGCCAGATTTAAAAAAAAAAACAACCCAACAGTATGAGACATAAAGGAACCTCCACAGTGAAGCAGATTGCTGACTCTCCCGAGAGGAAACGTGGAAAAATAGCACAAAATTGGCCGATTCTGTCTAGAGACCAAAAACTACTGCACCTGCCAGAGTTTCCACTTAATGAGAAAGAAGTACATGTGGGTGTGAAATAAACTCCGGAGCAACAAAAAAAAAAATGTTGTCAACTCACCTCAGCCTATTCACTTTGACACTGTAAGGCACTGTGTGAAGGTACTTGCAGGAAAGCAGGGAATAAAGTACACAACGTGGCCAAAAGTGTGTGGACACCCAGACATTACAACAAACAATGTGCATTAATACGCTTCCACACTTCTGGAAAGCGCAATACTGAGGTGGTCCTGTTCATCCCAGAGGTGTTAGATGGGCCATTCAGTGAACACATCTTGTGTCCAATACATTTACATACTGATACATTATTTTCAGACGAAGGGAGAACAATGTGGAGAACCCCTTCGTCAGACAGAAAATGTTATTCAAAGCAGACCATTTTTGTATGTGTCTTAAAATTAGTGCTGCAAAGATAAGTCGATTAATCGCTTAGCTGATTGATTGACAATTAATTGTCAACTATTTTGATAACCAACTGAACTCGGTTCAGTCATTTTTCAAGCAAAAATGTCAAAACATTTCTTTGTCATTTATGAAGTTTTGGGGGTTTGGACTATTGGATGGAAAAAGAAGCTATTTGAAGTTATAATTTTCTGGCAACTGTAATAATAATAATAATAATATTATTATTTTGAATTACATTATTTTTCTTTACATTTTATAGAAAGGATTATCAATAAATGATGATCAATTATTTGTGAAAATAAATCTGCAGATTCATTGATATTGAAAATAATTGTTGTAGCCCTACTTAAAACATGTCTGGAGAGTCTTTTAAAGTATACTCAGTCTGGTCTAACCCAATTTGCCAGCTTTCCTGTCCCCCACATCACACAGGTTGACAACCCTTGGTCAAAAATATCTTTGTATGCAAGTTTGACAGTTTCCCTTAATTAGAAGCTCAGAAGTCAATCCTAGACATGCAGAAAAAAATGTGGACATGGGTGTGGTATAAAAACTAAATGTAGCTAGAAGAAATGTAAAAGGCATAAATTACTAAAAGTCTCAATGTACTTTTACACTTTAAATTCCTAAGTAAGTAAAAAACAGCACTGTACTGCCCCGGCATGTCAATAACACCAGCGCTGTCCTTAAATACAGACAGATCCTGCCCGGAGGCATTCTCCAACACTTGTCCTATGCCCGGACCAATAATCAATTGTGCCCGACTCCTTGGGGAGCAAGGTCGAGTCGGGAGCCGGGCCAGGCTGGGGTGGCTCTGCCAGGGCTATGCATGCAAGGCAGAGCGGTTTCCCATGACCCCTATGTGACCTCCAGTAATACCTCTAGACTCATTCATCAGCAGATAAAGACTTATCCCCCACTGAGTCAAAAAATCATTCAATTCAAAAGAAACTATGTGAATATTTCCACTATGACCTTGTGTGCAGCGCATGAGTAATTTCACATGATAAAAGATAAAGGAACAAACACTGAGGCATGGATGAGGTCGAACCATGGTTAGCCCCGGTACAGAAGGTTCCTAAGTAAACAGCTAGCTGTGTGCTCCGACCTACAGAGAACACTGCTCATAATAAGACACCCAGGGCAAGCAAGCAGGTAAGTTCAAAAGGACACAGCTTTTTCTCACTGCTTTCTCAGTACTTGTCCAGAATACACAACACACACAGACAGACACGAAGTTGGTAAAAGGAAAAAAAGTTCTCTCTCTCCACAGGAAGTCCCTCACATATACATTTTTCCTTCATTGCTTTAAATGATCACACCTACAGTGCTGCAACATGTCTAAACATTCACACAAGTTTATACAAAGACTGACAGATGCAGCTATACCTTCTTCTCTTTGAGAAAACACCTGTCACACACACATTTTTCTAAATGTCTTAACCTTCTTGTTAATGACAAACAGCTTTATCATACTGCTGAGGCATGCCACACATTGTACACACGCAGACACACAACCTTCTTCAAACAATCCTTATTCGTCCTCTCTCTAATAAGCCGGCTTCTCTGGTCCCCCAGTCCTGTGCCACCAACACCCTCTCTTCTGTGTTTTATAACCATTACCTTGTGTTTTCAACAAAAAACTAACACTGCCGGGCTGTTCTCCTGTTGTACATTGTATAGGTTCAAGTGAGTTAACATTTTCTCCGCCTCCATCTTTCTACAGTAAGTAAAGACAAAAGTGAAATACTAAATTCTGAGGTCCTTACCTTCTTTTCTCTGATAACCAGGCCACCCCTCCATAATTCTCTGTGGTCAATACAGCTGTCTAGGTCACCAGGCTCCACCAGGCCCGCACTCAGGTAGGACGCCGCTTTCTGCCATCTGGGCAAAAAAGGAAAAAAGGTTCAGTCAATGACCAACACAGGGAAACTTTTATTCCAATTCACAAAGAAATGTTAACCCTGTTTTGTCAAAGTAAAGTAACAAAACACTGCTATGCACAATTGCCATTAAGTAAAATGTGTGCTTTTGTATGATTGTTCATCCATTGCTGAAAGTCAACACCTGCTCAGTTTTACTGTTCTACCTCCACCTAGTGGTTAACTGGGAGTATTATAAAAGTACTACTAATTATAATTCTACAAATTCACACAATACCGCTGCATTTCAATTTCACATCAGCCTTTCATGTTTGTCATGCCACAATAGTGTTTGTTTGTGTGTGTGTGTGTGTGTGTGTGTGTGTGTGTGTGTGTGTGTGTGTGTATATGTATTGTTGTGTTTGCATATTATATTAATTTAAAAGTGTATTCATCATTTGCTTTGTGCAACTCAAGAAATGTAATGCATGTAATAATTTTCATCTCCTCACCCAGCAGTGTGCTGTGTGACTACAGTGATCTTAGCAGCATGCCAGCAGGACATGTGTTTTAGTGCTCCCAGCAGAGGCAGCAGATCTTTAATAGGAGGGGACTGCTCTGCAGAGGCCAACACCAGCACATCTAACAAGGCTTTACCTGAGGTGGAAAATGGCACAAAGAGGAATTCATTAGACATTTTCTCTTTTATTTATAAATTATTTCTTTTTCTCTAAAGGATTTCATGAGTCAATGAACTAAGCTGGTTGCTCCACTGACACCATCTTTTTAACAAGTAGATAGAATTGCCTGTTTGCAATTCTAAATACCAAGATCTGTGAAAGAAAAGTTGGAAGTCAGTGGTGACTCCAGCTCCTCGGGCAGCCGACGATGGAGGGTGACTGTTCCTGAACTCCTGTTGAGATGGTGAGCTAAGAAATGCTCTTTCAGAAAGTGAAATTTTGCTTCAGCAGCCAGACTTGCTAAGTAGTAGTCAGAGCAGACGTACCCCATCTTCCCAGTGGTGTGTGCATATTTATTAAGTACAGTAGGCCACCTTTTCTACGAGGCTGCTGCAGGCAGATTTTCAAAACCTAATTGCGTGAAATTGGACTGGATCCTGGTCACACATCTGAGGAGTTTGGCTTCAGTAAAGAGGGTTTCATTCCTTATTACTGGAAGCTTTTGGCAAAAACAAAACTCACTTGAGACATTGTTTTGTGCAGTGAAGAAACTTCTTGTTCTTTCGCCCTTTTTAGTAAACTAGACTATTGTTGTTCTCTTCGTGAAAGTAAATGGAAGAAACAGGTTGTGCTGTACAGACAAACTTAACACCTGAAATCATCTGAGTAGTAGTGTGTGGAAGTGTTTTGGATTCTACACCATCAGTGGAATAACTGTTTCTTCGAATTAATTTGAATACATTTCATTTTAGTTCTCATTTGCTCTAACTAAATATTTTGAAAAACAGACAGCCCTACTGAGCGTGCAGATCTTCACAGATGACAGCTACAAAATGATAAAATGACTCACAGTTGCTATGGATGATAGTGTTTATAAAGAAAGTGAGTGCTATGGATTAGCGAACAGTACCTGGAGGTGGTAGCTTGTCTGACAATAGATGCAGTCCTTCTGAAGCCTCCTCTAACAGCCTGTTCAATAAAAACATTCAGATCTGATCAGAAATGTGACACTTGATTCTTTGAAACACATGACAAATATTTGTACCCATTTTTTTCCTTTTTTCTTTACCTGTACATTAGCAAATTATCTCAAAATCATTGTCCTGATTCAACTGTATGAAAAAATATAAATAATAAATGTGTTTCTTTACATTAACTGATTAAAGGAATACATTCAGTTCTATTAGTGATGACGTTTGTTCAGATAATATCAACTTATTATGATCTCACTTAGATGTATCAGACACATACCTGCAACACGGAGCAGGAGAAAAAGCACATTTATTTATATTAAGAACATAAGGTATCATCTGTCGCTTACTCTGTCAGTGACGGCTCGTCACCCTTTTGGTCTGGTGCCTCCTGATTACTCAGAGAACTGAGACATGATTCCAAAGCAGTCGGCTCCTCCTCACTGTCTGCTTTCTGATGGCCTGTCCCCAGCTCTTCCCAGTCTGAGCTGCAAAACTACAAAACAGGTGTTATAGATTTAGGTATGAATAGTTGTATGAATGTTGGAAGTCTTAGTACATTTGCTCCTGGAGTGTCACATCCCCTGAATGAATAATTGAATACTTCTATCACCATCTTTTCCACAAATTCAGGTAGCCAGCATACAAGTGGAAAAAACCTTTTATTCACAAACTGCACAACGATACCACCAAGTGGAAATCAAAACACAGATGTGATGGGGTACAGTAGGTTGATGGCATCTGGCAAAGCTGCTGTGAAGTGTGTTTTGTAATTTTGCTGACAGAGGCATTATACTACAACCCAGGAGGATCCACTTCAGCCTCATAAAATACGGTTGGTTTAAATTTTTTGTATTTGTATAACACTCAGCTTTTCATGACAGGAGTTCTCCAATATAATTTCTAATTTATGGATACCTACTTATTTATGGGCAAAGACATGTCTTACATCACAAATAGGAAAAGGCAGTGCACTGTATAGGTAATTGTGTATAGATCCTTGCAATGTAAACCATGTCTATGGCAAAAAAAAACAGTCTTGCATCTTCCAAATGTCTCACCTGCATTACGCCTTGGCATGCCTGAACAGCAAAGTACCACCTCTGAACTGAAGGGCTACCACTGAGAGAACAAGCTGGGAAAACATGCAGAGGAAAGAGGTAAGCTGTGAAATAACAATGTGTGAGAAAGATGCCCACAGTGGCCCAAATGACTGTACCTGGAAACACAGAGATCCCTCTCACTGATTCCTGAGTTGATATGTCCACAAGTCTGTCATATATCTGCTTTACTGGCTCCAGACCTGTGAACAGTGACAACTGAGCAGTCAGGTTTCATCACAACCAGACTAACGTTACTTTTTTTTTTAAGATTAAAAACTATAACGTTAAATAGCAACTCCATGTTTTAGCCTAACATGCATTTAGATATTGAAAATTTCAATAAAAACACTGTATGCTGCTAATATTTTATATATTGAAAGTCCTGACAGTTACCAGCTGTTAACACTTGAAGTTAACTTAACTTACAAATCACATTAGCTAGAGTGGTTTTGACTGGGTATTAGTACACTGAAATGTTTACAAGCCAAATGTATGTGGCACATCTCTCTTGTTAAACTAGGAAATATTAACACGGTAACGTAACCTAGTTAGATATTATCTGCTTCAAAAGACAAATCTTACAGTAGTATAGCATTAACCTAACTGTTACAGTATGAGTGGATGTCGACACCGTGATTGTATCCAGACACTGAAGAGGAAACGTTAACGTTAAACTTGAGAAACTTAACTTAAAACGCGGTGAATTAAAACTTACATTCAGTCACCTCCGCCAGGTCGTCATCAGTATCACAAAGGGATATAACCAAGACGTACCGGTCCATGTCGTGTTAACATTAGTAAACTCACGGTTAATGTTTGCTTTGAACAACAACAATCATTTCGCGCACAATCTCAAATTTCCCACCGGTTCTTCTTCTTCTTCTTCTTCTCCTGTAACCAGCCCAACGTGTCCAACTCTACAGTCTATGGTCCAACTACAAGGCGCGCCACCGCCCCCTACTGGACTTATGGTGCGTTCTCGGAACTGGGAAATTTCCGTCCTCCACCTAGAAAATGGTTTTCCATGGTTTTCGTTCACTTTCGGCGTAAACACCACCATGCACCTGGAACACTTTGATGTCGAAAGTTTCAACTGGGAAATATCCCAGTCCCGAACGGTCTCGAACGCGGCAATAGACTGAACTACCAGATAGACCTGGTACAGCGACTCAGAAATCCAAACGGTCCGACAGTGTTAAAAACATTAAAATCGTTGCTACTGCATCAGCATATGTCCTACTTTCAAGTGCGGATGTATCATGTACAAGTGTCACATACAATAAAAACGTCTTTTTTAGAAATTAAGTTGCTGGGGGTGGGCAGCGGCCCGGGTTCTAGCCAAACTGTGGCCCTTTGCTGCATGTCATCCTCTCTCTCTTCCACATGTTCTGTCTATCAACTGTCCTGTCACGAATAAAAGCGAGAAAGACCCCAAAATATCTTTTTTAGAAAAAGAAATAAAGTCGCTGAGGGTCTGAAAAAGGTAAGCAGTGGACCAAACCCACTATGAGGCATATGGTTGAGGACTACCGTACTAAATACATTGACTATAGACACTGATGGTGGTAGTATTTAATTATTTTGATCAAAATTACTGCTAGTTTTGTTGCCTAAACCCAACCAAGTCAGAATCAGAAATACTTTTTGATCTCCAAGGGGAAATTCTTTGTTACAAATTGCTCACTTGCAAATCAAGGTTTAAGGAATAAAAATAATAGAAAGTAGGTAAGTAAAAAATATAATAAAATATACAAATATTAAAATATACATATAAATATAAAGTTTTCAGATATGTACAGTATTATACAGTGTTAACAGAAATGTAATGATAAATAGTAGTAATGAATTAGACTCAATTATTTAAACTTTATATATATTGTTGCACATGTCAAAATTGGGTTATAATTTGAAAACTGTACCAAACAAAAAATGTTTGACAGCAAAAGTGTTTAACTCTCATGACAAAACATTCTGAGCAACAACTGAACTAAAATTAACAACTTGGAGATTTGAATGACGTCCTTACAGTGCATCAAGCAGTGCAGGACAAGGATTTTATTTAAATATACTTTGTAAATACAACATTCAATTCATTCAATGTTAAATGATCACACAACTCAGTACTGCACTTGTTTGCAATTGTTTTCATAATTACCAAGTGAGTGAAAAATTCTTAACAATGTAATTTTTTCATGATGACAGGGAAACATTCACTAAATCCTGATTGTATTGCTTATTGGTACATTTTATGTTACTTCATACTGAGCTACTGATACTCACTTATCCCGTCACACTCATGGCTCAACAGTCTTATGTTGCAACACTAGCATTGCTAGTTGATTTCTACAGTGTGTTCCTGGACATAGACGATGTAGTGGTGGGTGTTTTCTCCCTGAGTGAGGACTGTCAGAGCCTCCAGGCCGTGTGCCTCCTCCACCACCATCACCTGGTTGCCAGTTAGACCCCCCTCTGCGTTCAACACCATCAGCTGGTTGCTGCAGTTACCAAATTCCTGCTCATCGGCCACCTGCAACTTCAGCCACAACTCCACGTCAACATTTTGCCTCAACCACTCATGATTTCCTGAGTGAGTGATGTGTTGTGGTTTACCTGTTGTACAACGGTAACAGTGCCTGGAGCCATGGCGACCATGGAGGTGACAGCGTCGTGAGTCTCTGAACTCAACTCAGTGATCTGCTGGATATTAACTGAAAACAAAAGACATATATATTGTGATGTGGCACGTACCACATATACTAAGGCACATTAATAACAAACATTAATAGAAATAGCCACATTTGGTTTGTCTGAGTCAGACATCTACTGTATGTCTAGCACTGTTACCGTTGTCTTGCAGGGCTGCTACTGGTGCTTCTGTCAGCTGCTCTTCATCCTCCACAGGCACATACTGGGCCTCTACTGTCTCCCCCACCTGGAAACGTATACATATGAGAGAGTGTTCTCTCCTGAAAACACTGGCTTTGAAAAATAAAAACAATTGAAACTTATATTATATGCTGGTCGAGCTTCCAGTGTCCAGTGGTATTTCAGCAACAGTTTTTAAGTTTCTAATTCAGAAATATAATTTTCAATGGCAAGAGACTGAGACAGAAACAAGACTAGTGCCTACTACTGCCATGCTAGCAGCTCTGTGTGGCTGTACTTGAGCATAATGCTAAAATGCTTACAATGATAAAGTACAGCTGAGGCTAAAAAGAAATCAATAGTTTAGCAAATAGTTGGTCATAAAATAAAGTATTGGACAAAATTACACTTTGTAATGCATACACTGTTTGATGTTGCAAGAGGTTAAAGTCATGGAGTCACCAACATGATTACAATTATGCCCTGAGGACCTTTGCAAAATTTAACAGGAGTCCTTCCAATAGTTGTCAAGATACATCAGTCAGACCAAAGTGGTGGACAGACAAACATACCGACATTGCCATCCCTAGAGCCATGTTGCTAGGACAGCTAAAACAATAACCCAGCACCTTTATTCACTGTATCTGGCCTGCGTATGTGTGTACTGTTTACCTCCCAGGTGCCTTCGACCACTTTCAGGCTGTGTTTGCTCTTCAGGTGGCGGTTCAGCTCCCACTTGGTGCCATAAACAAATTCACATTCAGGGCACTTCATACCACCTAAACGCAGGCACACACAAAAGCTATGTTAGGTTATGCTGAACACATGTTGGGCAATCCCATATGTTGCTCAACAACATCAGCAACTATACAATACTTTTACAATAGACACTGAATGTATCAGTTCATACTGCTATTACAGACTGTCAAGTTCTGTCCCACTACAAGCTAGAGTTTTCACCATAATGTCAACCTTCAAAAATCTTTACACAGCACAAATCACCTACTGTAGTAAAATATTACTTGAAAGAACATGAAAAATCTAGACATAACAGCATAAGAACACAGAGATGAGACCTTGCTGTTTCAGAGCATCAGGGTTTGGCAGTCCAGGTCCAGCATTCTGATATTTCTGATCCGGGTGTTTCATGTTGTAGTGTCGTTTCAGGGGACCAGCAATGTTACAGGAGTAGTGGCAGTGAGCGCAGCGAAAAGGCTACACAGATAGACACAAACATACACAAGTTAATGTAAATGAAATATCTGAGAGACAAGACTGCATTTGAAATATGAATTGAGTTTTTCTAAACAACTTGTCAATCACTTTATCAAAACAGTGACTGATCATGGGTGGAGCTTTGCTTAGCTTTGCTTTATGACCTGTTTGTTTTGTTGTTTAATTTTAGTCAAGAAAGTAGCAGTACAATAGCTGGGGAGTGTGAGTTAAAGCTACAGTCTCATTTCTGATATCCTGAACAATGCCCACGACAAGTCAGACTAAATTATGCATTGGTAAAATGTAAAAATAAATAAAATACTTTTTTCCCATACAAATGAAAAGAAAGAGCTCTTTAGACAATTTCTTCCGATTGATATTTTACCATTCACACATACATACAGTATAAGGGTGTTTCTTTGTACATAGTAAGCTGTAAGCTGTGTGTGCCTCTTCTCGAGTGCGTATTCTGACCTTAAACTCAGCGTGTTGTTCCATGTGTCTGAGCAAAGAAGGTTTAGAGACCGAGGTGAAGTCGCACTCCAAACATTGAAACCGTTTCCCTGAACAAACACAAATTAATTACTCTTGAATATCTGATTATCTGATAGTCTAGCAGAATACTTGTGTCATGCATAAGAAAATTATAAAATGGGCAATAATAAATAAACGGAAAATTAGCTATGACAACAATGGCAGCACAAAAAACATTGTCAGTGACAGAGAAGAGTGTACACACCTTCATCTGTGTGGCTCAGTCTGTGGCTTTTCAGCGTGACTTTGGATTTGAACTTTTTACCACACAGATCACACAGATGATGCCTCTCTGTGTTGTGTCGGTTCATATGAGTCTTTAAGTTACTCCTGCTGCGGCCTGCATAGTCACACACACTGCAGACGTATGGCTTCAAACCTGCACGCATGGACACGCGTAAAAACACACACTTAAAAACCAGCAACAAAATGCTGAAAAAAAAGACTTGCTTTGGAATAAAGGGATATAAAAGTGTGAAGAAACAATATGGTATTTGGTGAGGTGTTGGATTACAGTGGTTTGGCGAATGGCTCATTTGTCAGCTTATTAACATGCACTATGTTGATTGAAAATACTTGAGGTATCATTGCTCAAAATAATAAAAATAATAATAATAAAAAATTGTCTGTAGTTTGATAAAATAATATAATGTTTTTGTGTCTGAATGTTTTTAGTCACCTTGTGACTACACTGGCTTTTTAGTTGTATGGGTGCAGCCAGCAGTGAACTAGACTGATAATCTTAAGTGACAAGGATAAAGCCAGATAAACCTGACGACAAACACAATGAGCATATGCATTGCAGGGAGTTTTGGTAAGCTGGCTGTGTTTGCTGAGACCTTCATCAACACCTGTGCTGGATTTATGTCTGCCAGCTACCTCAGCCTCAGGACAGATGTAACTTCAAGGTAAACAGCTCATCAAGGTAAACAAGTGTTGATGCAGGGGCCGAGGGGAAGAGGAGTAGGACTAACAATTCACTTCCTCAAGACAAGACATTGTATATTATAGCTAAAGTGGACATGCTTTATGTATTAAATAACTAAAGCTCAACAACCATGTATTCATCAGCCGTGTATAGCCGTGATTTTAGCAGTCTACTATTATTATTATTTCTCACTAGAAACAGCATGAAAGTTACACATGTTTTGCAAAGACGAAGGGATTGTTGCAAGAGAAAATCATTCCTTAAAACAGCATGTCTCATATTATGTAATTTCTGCCAATCTTCATTGCCAGATTCTAGAATTTTTCATCTTTGAAAT